ACATTAAATTTGATGGGGAAAAAAATCGGAAGGAAATTTACCACTTTTTATGGCGGGTGTTCTGTAAATTAAAATATTTTTTAACCTGAATTTGTCATTTTTGAAACTAAGCCCTACCCTTTATTTTTAGTCCGCTCGGCCGTGCGGTTTTCCTATTTTTAAGAAGCCCGAGCCTAAATTTGGGCCACGCTTCATTATTTTTGTATAAGGACAAATGGTCTTGAAAATGAGACGTATGGAAGATTCTATTTACTTGAAAAGAGTATGTTCAGTTATATTTATGAATCTAGGAATATAATTCCCCGGAAACAAAACCCCCGTTTTTTAAGATATTAAAAATTACAAAATTATTAAAATAGGAGGAAAAAAAAAATTCCCCTTATAAATATAACAACGAAATAAAAATCCTCAAATAAAATATTTAAAAATTTTGAGATAATCAATTTCGGGGAATTATTTCTTATAGATGGCACAAAGGTTTAAACATCTATTTGCCTCGAGGCTTATATAACATTATTTTGGCAAAAAATCTTAATCGGCCGTTTTTAAAAATAGACCCGATTAGGACTTCTTTTCAACCTTAGCACAGCCTACTAGATTATTATAATATTATTTTTTTCTTTTTAAAATTAGATTACAAATAAAAAAAAATATTAAAAATTTTGTCATATATATTTTCATATGATTTATATTATAATATTCTTGAATATTTTAACTAACCTGTAGATATACAGGCCATACTCTTAAGAGACTTTTAGACCAGAAGGTGACTGGTCATTTAGAAACATCTCACATTATTAATAAGAATTTTGAGACTATTGATAAATAGTACTCTTAATTTAGAAGTTCCATTCATGATTCAGTGGTTAATAAAATTTACATTCTACTGGTCATTTTAATTTATGAAGAATTAATAACAATAGATCCACTAAATAAGTATTAATAACAATAGATCCACTAAATTAAAAATTGTATTCATCCCATAATTAATATATTAAAAAATAAAAGAAGTGATAATTCTTTTGATATGATAAGAATTAAGACTTTAGAAACTTATATAAAAATTTAATTTCATATCTCAAAAATCATCAAGGGTACGTAAAACACGTACAAACCTTCATGATTTTTTAGTCGATACCAAATTGCAATTTGATTGTGTAAAGGACTTCAAATGGAGTTCCTTAAATAAGAATTATTATAAAATTATTGATTATTTATGTAAGTCGTTTTTTAAAAGATTTACACAAAATGATTATAATCTTCTATCATGTTTTAATACATTATTCCATCTTGACCCTGATTATTTTATATCAGATAAAATGCCCCCATTAGAATCAATATCAAACTTAAATATAGAAACGTGGCATCATGAAATGAAAATATCAAAAGAACTATGAGCTTTCAGAAGTTAAAAAAATAATAATTTTGAAAATATCGTAAATATCGTGTATAAAAAAACACAATTTTGCATTTAATGAATTGTATAAATGTTTGTGAGGTCTCATTCTCCGAACTAAAGAGAGTTCTATCTAGCACTTACGACGTAATTTTTTTTTTGATATTAATGGCTTATGGAAAAAATACGGAATTTAGCTTTTAATTCATTTATGTTAACGAATTTTTAATAAAAATAGCAAAAAAATTTATATGAGTATTTCAAAAAAGCATTGACCCTCCTAAGTAGTGTTGTTTAGGCTCGATTTTAGCCGATTTTTAAAAACGGCTCGATTTTAGCCGATTTTTAAAAACGGCTAACTCAATATTTTATCTAGAATAATATTACGCAAGACTTAAGATTTTGCTCATAGATGGCACAAACGGTTTAGACATCAATTAGCGAAATCTCCAGGCTTAGGCAATATTTTTCTGGCTAAAATATTTAATTAGCCGTTTTTAAAAAAATCGGCTCAAAACGAGCCTTTTAACAACACTATTCCTAAGTAAACAGTTGCCCTCCCCTTAACTGGTGGCTACAGCCCTGCATAGCATATAGCAGCGACATTTATTTTATTTTTTCATTTAAAAAAGAAAATTGTATGTCTATTTTTTTTTTAACAATTATTACCATTTTTAAAAATGGGATAATTATTTCTTTTCGCTATCACGAAATTATTAATGACCCTTATATGCTCAAAACTTTGCAGGAGTCATTTCAATTTACTTGCTTTTTCCAAAAAAAATATTCGCTAAAATTATACTTTTTTAAAAAAAATATTTTATATGATATAAAAATCTTCATAAAAAATATAACCATTATAAATATATTGCATTTATATTAATAATACTATTAAAATATTATATGAAATCGATTTATGAAAATAGATAAATAATTCGAAAAAATATATAAATAATTTATTATCATCATTATATAGTTATATAAAAAAAAAAACTTTCCCGTTACCCCTCAATTTTCATTTCAACCATTAATTAGTAGACGTTTAAATATTAATTTCATTATTAGTGTGTGAAAAATAATAATTACCATATAAAATTATTAGGGTGTAACTTATTAAACTATCACGAAATATATCACAAAATTTTTAATACACTTATCTAATATAGTCCTGAGTTACAAAAATGCGCCTGGGCGCTGTAGATATATTGCTGATATTTAGCTTCCATATTTAGCTAATAGTGTCCAAACCTTTTCAGCTATCTATGAGCAAAATCTCCAGGCTCACATTTATTTTGGTTATAAACTTAATCGGGCCGGTTTTAAAAATCGACTCGAATCTGGCTTTTTAACATTACTAACCGTCTAAATCAATAACGTGTATTAAAAATGATAGAAATCTGTTTTATTGAACGGCGACTGATAGATCTCATAAGTAAAATAAAGTGAGGGTACTGAGAGGAATGAAATAAATAAAAAAAATATTATTTAAGAAGAATGATTTTATGGACTCATTTGATTTGGCTAAGAATAAATAGTTCCAAATTTTTTAAACACCTTGTCCCATATTGCCAAAAAAATTCTATCCTCGCCATTGGACTTCTGAAGAACGATGTTTGAATTGAAATTAAAAAAATATTTTGAGGTCCTTTTAATTTTTCAAAATAGGAATTACCCTCACCATTAGTATTTCTGTTTCGCTTCTGTAAATTTTTGACTAGAAATCAAAAATATACCCATAAAAAACGAAATTTATAATTAATTTATATAATAATATATAAATCAAAAATATATTGCCAGAAACGAAATTTATAATTAATTTATTATATTAATATAAAATTCAAGGCTATATATTTTTCAAAATACAATTTATTAGATATTGATCATCGTGTATTTCTTCTCTCCGTTTAATGGCGATTTCCAGGTTTACCCAGGTTGGCCAGTTTTCCCTCTGATTTAATCTTTAGGAAATTTATTGACACTGTACGTCTACCTACCGAGAGGGGTTTAACTCAGCGGTTTCTATAAACATAATTGATCTAATGGCAGAAAAAATTATTACTCAGTTTTCACTTACATGTCAATCATTACGATAATAACTCAACTTAAAGATAGTTCAATTGAAGATTTTTTTTTTAATTGGATGAAACATTTTTAAAATTAAACAAGTATCTAAAGTAAGGAGTATGAATAATGGTTAAAATGATATGGGTTAGGGTTAATTTAAGATTTGATAGATATGTATGTAGGATTAAGATATATTAAAAATTATTATTAATAAAGATTAAATAATTTATATCTGTCAAATCTTGCAGGTCATTTGATTATAATTAGAAGAATAGAATTTTAAATAAGTCAGCTGTTTACATAAAACCTCATAAAAGGGTCAATAGTAATATTATTAAGCTAGTTAAATTTTCATGAAAAAGTAACTGTAAATAGTTACTTTTGAAAAAATTCGACTTGCAATATTTATTTGGAATGTCAAGACAAAGTGTTACTTTTTAAGATTTGTAAAACATTTATATATCATTCATTATCTTTAGATGATTTCTCAAATCTAAAATCACTGTTTATTAAATATAATATCTCACTTGTATGCTCAGGAAAACTTATATTATGTGAAAAAAAAATGAACACTTTTGACAACAATTAAAAGCAGATATAAAACGTATTTTTCCCAATTTTTTAGACGCAAAGCACTTAAATATTATATTCTGTTATTTATATACTTTTTTCGATTCAAATATTATTATTACTATGATATATATATTTTTTTAGTGTTCTTAATATATTACATTCTTTTTTATTTTTTTGCAGTGCATTTCTATTTTAAAATTTTTTATTTTCATTAGATTCATTTGATTAACATTTGTGAATCGCAAAATTATTTTGTAAGTAAAAAATAAATTTAAAAAATGAGTTAATAATCATCTGAAACGTACTTTTCAAAAGTAACTTTTATAAAGACACTTATTGATAGGAATGATTTTATTAAAATTATTTCTGATTAATTACAGGTTATTATTATATATATCGGGGAGAGGGGCTCAAATATACGGCATTTAGAAAATAACATTAGTAAAATTAAAACCGTTCAAAGGATTTGCATGAAATAATGAATATAATATTATATATTTTGCAAAAATATAATTTAAGTGATGTGAATTTTCTTTTAAATATTTAGTTCGTTTCCTATTGTATATATAAATAGCGTTAAGCCTACTGACCCATCTTATTTTTTAAACTTCTGTTTAAAACAGTTTATTCAGATCTTGAACTAGGACACCCTATTCCGTTTCATTTTAAATGTGGACTAAATTTAAATAACCATTTTAAAAAAAATTGTTTTGATAAAGCTATGTAGTCGACTATTTAGAAATAATACAAGTCAAAGTTAAGACACTGCTTAATAAAAACTAATTTTATTTTTAAAAAAGTAGCGAGCACCATTTTGTTTTAAAATATGCATTATGGATTTATAAAATATTAGATTTCACATTCAAAATTTGGACCATATCTATATTTCGTTTAATGGTTTTTTTTAAGAAAATATTTTTTATAAAATGTAAATTAGGTATAGCATTAAAAAAAAATTTTTATATAGAAAATAACTTCCAATGCCTTCAATGCACTTCCCTCAAAAATCCAGGCTGCGCCGCTGGTCAATTACCTCCTTCTGCATGCAGCGATCGTATAATAAACGCGAGTTATTGCTTCACTTACACAATCAAAATGCCAAACATAGGTTTTCAAATTATTTCATACCGCATATTTAATTTTTCGTTTTATAGCATTTTTGAATTCTTAGCTGGGTCTACTTAATTTCTCTATAGTATCTAAAGAACTTCTGAACACTGGGACATTCAATTTTAGTTTGGTTTAACTATTTGGTGGCATTGTTATTTTATTCTCGTTTTGCTTTTTAAGTCGATAAAGCCGTCCTAAGACACGGCATTAATAGTTATTTTATATTAATTAGTACTTCGATTTTTGCTTATCTAATATCCCATCATTTTTGGTTAGTTGTAAGAATTCCTCTAATAAAATTTTCGTTAAAAAATACTTCATCCAAACATCTCCTATTGCAATTACTTTATGGAATCAAACATCCGTCTCAGCGCTCAACCCCCCCTCCATTTTACATATGTATATCAGAAATAAGTATACTTAATAAAATAGGATATTAGTATAAAAAATGTATTGTAATTAGACCAGATAATACACTACCGGCTCTAGCGTCTTACATATTTATTAGTAGAAAGAGTAAATCAATACAATTGGCAAGTCAATATTTATTGATGGATTGTCAAATGTTCATAATTTACTTGCGTAATGTTTGCAGTGTGCAAATATACTATCTAAAGTTAGAGATGGTATTATTCTTGGTAAATTAATATCATAGCCCAGTCACACTTATCGGAATATATTTTTTTAAATGACTTGTCACCTTAAATACAGAATAAGCTAATGTGAAAAGGAGGTTTAATAATTATTAGATTTTATTCAATTAGATCGTTTAGTATTTTATGAATAATAACGACATTTATACGTCAAAAAATATTGTTTTCATTATTCGATCGAATTTCTTAACATTTATTATTCCAAAATATTTGAAATCATTTGTAGATATTTAAAGCTATTCATAAATATTGAACTATTTTTCTAGAAGAACTTTTTATTTTATTTCTATATTTTATTAAATCATTTTTTTTGTTATTATAATAATTCTTTTTCCCTCTTTAAAAAAAAAATTTTAAAACATTTAATTTTTGAATCGAATTAGGAATACGAATAAAGAATTTTGGATTCAAAAGAATAATAGAAATATTCTATTCGTATTTTTGTGCCGACGCCAAAATGCTTTCTATACATTAGAATTTTAAAATAATTGGCCTGGTCCAGGCTTACTATAACAGAACTTTATCTCATTTATAATTTACAATGTTAGGTGTGATTATATTCAGGGATTGCACGCCTTTCAAAATCGTAGACTCCTGTCTACCCCAATACATAGAAGGGAGGAAAGTAGATTTATGCTTCTGGACATGCCCCGAATCCGCCTGCAACAATATACCGGTGCAAAAGTTGATCAACACTTACATGAATGGAGCACATCGTTCTAAATCAAGCCGATATCTCGTGATTATGCTGATAGCAGCTTTTATGTGGTGCCGTTTTCGGTAGCGTTGTTAAAAGCCTCGATATAACCGATTTTTTGAAAAAGGCTAATCAAAATTTTACCCACCAATTTATCAAAGTCTCGAGATTTTTGCTAATATGTAGCTGAAATGTTTGGCCCTCCTTTGGCGAAATTTCGAGGCTTAGATACTGCTATTTTGGCTAAAATCATGATTTGGCCGTTTTTTAAAAATAGGGTAAATTGAGGTTTTTAAACAATACTAGTTTTCAGGGACAGAACAGGATTTGAAAATAAAAATTTTAAAATGAAATTCTAAAAAAAACTAAAAATAATTTTTTGACATCCCAAAGCCCTAAACACCCCTTGTCAAATCTAATTTTTTTTTAAAGAATTTTATATACGTATTTTAATTAATTTGTGATTTTATACATTTCAAAGCTGTGTTGCCCAAAACATCAAAAAAATTTGTATATCAAATCTATCATAACTTTAGCCAAAAAACGATACCTTTTTTTAAAAAATATAAAAATAACAATATGATCATTACTTATTGTGAAATTTTCAAAACTTTATCATTAGGTTTCCTTAAAAAATTATTTAAACCTTTTGAAATAGGCTTTGGACAAAGAAAAAAAAATGTAAGCCCTTTACACTTAAAAGTAGTGTTGTCAAATGGCTCGTTTTGAGCTGATTTTTAAAAACGGCTAATTCATTATTTCATCCAGAAAAATTATGCAAACCTGAAGATTTTGTTCATAGAAAAAAAAACAAAGATCTAGACATATATTATTGAAGATCTCGAGGCTTAGACAATATTTTTCTGGCGAAAATATTGAGTTAGTCGTTTTTAAAAATCGGCTCAAAACGAGCCGTTTAACAACACTACTTAAAAGTAACCCTCGAATTAATTTTAATATTTTAAAAGAAATACTAAAGCAAGATAGACAATTTATATATAACTTCAATCTGTTTATAAATCATAAAAACAATCATGATTGAATTTTTGAAAGTTCTAATATTTGATATTTTCAATATCGATTTTATAACAATTTGCCTCATAAAAGTATCATTAAAAAAAACTAAAAAAGTAACATTTCAAACCTAAAATGTATCATTTTCAAAAATTAATTTTACGTTTTTTAGAGTTTTGAAATGATGAATTATGAGGTAAAATGTTATTCGAATAAATAAAAAGCCATCATAAAATTTTCAGAATTTTTTTTATTATTTTGTTTAAAAAATCAAAATCAACAATTTATCATTATCCGTCAAGTCTTTACACTTATAAAAATATAAAATTTATAATTTAAGATAAAAAAATATTTTGCTATTTTAATGATAATATTCTTTGGAAGCGTTTTTTTAAATAAAAAACCCAACTATCCAAGGGTGCTGATAAACGCCGCCACACTACGCAAATAAAAGATGACTCTCTTCATATGGTCATAAAATTTTGTTAGAATATTTATATTTTCTTCGAATAAATTACGTCGATTTAAAAATTAGCGAATAACAAAATATCAACCAAATTTGTAAAAAAATTATCATTTGTATTGTATTGTTTTTTATTTCACAAAGAAAGATTAATATATTATATTTTAATAAATTATAAAGATATTAAAATTTGGCTACAAAGTCTAATAACTTTTTGCGTAAGATTAGAAATGTTTGTCTAAACATATCCACAAGGAATATGAGCAAAATCTATATAGATTAGGAAAGATTCACGAATTGCAACATCTGAATTCCATAATTCAAATATAATTTTATCTTTTTTTGGCCATATAATAATTTCCGGGCACATCAAATTTCGGTTTAAGTTTAAATTAAACTTCCCAAAAATTTTTCAAGGCTTATTTCTATAGTATTGCTGTTTAACTTTGGATAGAACGTTGTTATTATTTATATTATTAGCGTTAAGATTATGGTGTTGATTCATATGATGATTAACGTGGTTAACATTGGCGGGATATGCGGCCGCAGAATAAGGCCTACTAGTGACCACCACGTTGGGGTGATTGCTAATTAAGCCGCCGTTCCTAGATTTATTATAGTCGGAAAGATTCATGTTATTGGGGAAGTTGTTGGAACGAGGGTGATAATCTATTTTGGAAGGAGGTTGAATGTAGGATTGAAATATTTTCCGAGAGGGATCGGAAACGGGATTTTGTTGGTGATTGACTTGAGGGGTATAACCAGCGGGGGCTGCGGGGTAGGAAGAACAGGTCGGAAGTAGGTTAGGACCGTTGGTAGGGTGGTTCGTCATAACATTGCCATTGCTGTGAATAGGTGGGATCATATTGTTGAAACTCGTGTTGCCCATGGGGCTGATAAAATTATTGGCGTTGTTGAGTTTTAGACGGTCGCTTATCTCTCTCCACCTGATACTACTGTTGCTATGATTGGCATAGTTATCGGTGTAGGAGTTATTCGGAACGCTTTCCTGGTGACCTGACTCTGGAGTGTGCGCATTACCAAATAACGTTTTTTCGTGATTAGCGGGGCTGATATACGAATCCAGATTTGACTTATTAGAAATTTTTGCGGCGTGTTGGGAAGACGGTTGATTTGTATTGTTGTGGGCGAGGTTGGAAGTGTTACTCGTGATTGGATTGATATTTGACGAAGGATAATATTGTTGCTTATACGGTGCGAATGTAGGATTATTATTTGACTGATTATGATTAGAACTCATTTTATTATGGTGGGTTTGAGAAAGGGGCTGTTGCGTTGTTGGAGGAAGAATTTGTTGCTGTGTTTTAAATATGAATGGGGGAATGTTTATGAGTAAAATAAAAATATCAAATACACAAATGAAATTAGTAAAGCAGTTTATTATTTGATAGTTTTGAATTATCACCTTTCAGAACAAAGAGACTTTGTACGTAAGCATAAGGTATTAATATACCTTAGTTTTTTCTCGTTAATATATAATATGACGCAAATTACCGCTTGAGCCTGGGGCATAAGCTGATGGAAGAGAGTGGCCAAAAATCTTTGAGTGAAGGTCAGATAATCGGAATTTGTATTAGACGCGTGAAGCGACGAAGATTTATTGAGGGAATGAGATACCCTCTCGCCGGTTTCAAAAGCTTTTCTAAGGTCTCTCAAAGAATTTTCGACGTAATGGAATTGCCGTTTGGCTTCGGCGATATTTTGTTGAGGACTTGCGTCCTTGTTTTGTTGCTGTTGTTGGTATAAGTATTGCTTGAAGTATAGGTGCTTAAGCTGGAGGGGAAAATCATTTATAAGTTTTATAGAGATTTAATGCAACGAGCCCAAATTCTAAACCCGTACCTATCTCGGTTATTTAAAAACCATCCATATATATAATAATTCATTAATTAACAATCTCCTTAATTTTCCTTATTGATGTATAGTGAGAGCAATTTTTTTAAATATAAATTATCATACTAATTGTTCACGATTTTATAATAATCGGAATAAAAGCTTGTTTATAGGTTTCGCTTTGTTTACCCCATTAAATTTTTTATCTAAATTACAATTATTCAGAGTTTGAAGTGAAAAAAACAAAAATCTTTCGAAGATTTTTTCGAAGAATAGAGATTTTTGACCAAATTTTACCTTAAAAAATGGCAATTAATTAAAAGGTAAATCTTCCGTCATTTTCAAGAATAAAAACTTTTAAAGTTTTTTTTTAATACAAAAACAATATCTCCATAAATAATTATTTTTTAATTAACAAATTAATTATCTTCGCTGCGAATTCGCGCTAACTGTGAATGCGAGGTAAAGCATTTAGAAGCTTTGTCAAACGCTTTCCGAGTCTGTTGTGCCCTGACTTAAATTGATTCATAATAAAAAAGAAGCTAATGGAAAAAATTATAATTTATTGGAAATTATACACAAATTTTTCTTAGTCAAAAAAGGGTACAAATTTATTTAAATAAACGATGAAATTTTATTTAAACTAAACAAGCTTTAACGCCATTTATTGCAATAAAATATTGTCAATTATTTTAAAAAAATTAACTATCGAAAAATGGTAAATAAAACCATTTTTTAGTGTTTACCATTTCTCTTAGAAGATTCGAATCATAACAAAAACTTCCATGAGATATTTATATGAGAATCATAACAAAAACTTCCATGAGATATTTATATGAAAAATAGGCGAGAAATCCCCTGTTCAAACCATGGTTTTGTGAAATTCTTATTAAAGCCCCGAAAATAATTTAAATATAAAAAAAAAACCTCTTTAAGAATAGGTCTGATTATGGTGTAGTAATAATGGTAGGCCGACTGAGAAGTCTCGACAAGCCCTTCGGAAATTTTGGAGTTGGAAGAATCATTGGAAGATGTTAAAACCTTGTTGATTTTATTTTCTTGGGGGATGTGTTGGTCCTTAAGGAGGTTTGTATTCTGGATATTGGGGTCGTGGTGGGCTAACTTCTCGTCGATTCGTGATCTAGTCATAATGTCAGGGTGGTGGGTGGCCTTGTATAAATTTAAAAAATATACTTTATAAGTGACGGGAATAAACACTATTTTCTAATGTTTGTAAGTTAATCTCATCTTTTATTTATAAAATTTTATTTGACCTATAATTATTATTGATCATTGATTTTTGCCTCAAATGAATATATATTTTTTCCGCAATTTAATTTAAGAATAAAAGATGTTTTAAAATTTATTTTCAGATTTTATTTATTTAAGCCCTGGACATATTTAGATATTCATTTTGGACATTATTTTATTTTGTAATTCGGGGATATGATATTATTGAATATTCGGTTTCTGTAAAATAAAAAGATAAAAAGTTTTATGTCAAATATTTAAGAAGAGTTATTATAATTTAAAAAAAATATATATAACACAAATATTAAAATAAACATTTAAAGGATATATCTATTTAAGAGCCTAATAATTATGAGTGCTTTATGAGAAGATAATTTAGATAATGTTATATAAGCAAGAAAAAGTATTGGATAGATGAAATGACAAGATTTGGGATATGAATATAATAAGCATAGATTATTAAAATTAAACATTTCAGTAAAGGATTGGTTGTATTCAATTCCCAAAATTTCAAGACCTGGTGATAAAAGGAAAGATGATCGGAATACCATTGTGTTGATAGAGATGATTATTAGATGAATGTCAGGTGTTAGTTAACAAAATAATTTATTATCATTAGAATAAATAATATTATGCCAGTTATATCTGAATGTTTGAAATTGAACCATGTTCCTATTATTTATTCGTAACCTCCGTGGTCAAATCTCCCCCCCCCCCTCCTTATATAATGTTCCATTTCTAAGAATACTAATCCCGATGTTTTTGTAAAAATCTAAAGGTTATAATAGCAGATTTTCTTGATATGAAAAAGCAGTGAATGTCAACCAGAACCGCTTCAGATCCGTCTTTTATCCGTTTATCTTGATTTTTCTTTAATTGTTCCAAACAATGTGCAACTATACTATTTGATCTTCGAATAAAATTTTTAATCGTGAATTTTCTTCTCTATATGCATCGCAAAACAAATTAATAAATATCAGCCCTCCAAGACATTGCGCGAATTATTAGAAAAACCAGAAATTATATAAGTAATATTATAAAGTAACATTAGCAATAAAATTATTATATTTCGTTGAGTCATTATTTGAATCTCACCCCACTTTTATAATTTAGAAACTATTGGAAAAAAAATAGGCATTCTAAAGTTTAATGTAATGAATACAGGATTGTACTAAATTAGTCTTAAAAACTTATTTAGAAGAAAAAGATAACGCTACATCATAGACACGCTGATACTCACGGTATCGGGTATCGGCCAACACGTGTTAGTAGGTGGTATAGATGTGTAGGATAGAAAGGTGGTATTTACTGCATTTCTGATATATGGTTTTAATTTTAAAAATACATAAAATAATGTATGAGTTAGGATTAGATATTTTAGAATAAGAAAATACACATATATAAATAATAATATTATATTCAAGTGAGGGGGGGCAGGCAACAACAATTAGGATATAAAAAAATGTATAAGTAATACCACTTATAGATCGACTTGAGAAAGATATGGATTGAAAGACAAGTTCAAATGGGGGAATAAAAATTTTCGCTTCATATGGATCCTCAGGAATATTAGGAAAATCGACATGCATAACAAAAAATTTGATAAGCCTATTTAGATATAGTTGTTTCACCTCTTACTAAATTGCAAGATTTATATTTAGGTCCCCCCTCCCCCCGCATCTTATAAATTAGCAGTTTCATTGAAAAGACAATGGGTTACTTTATGACGGGAACATTAAGATCATGGCGTTTAAAAGTGTGTCGTCTGGAAGATGTCAAAAGGATGAAGAATAGCAAGTAGATTATAAATTAGACATGAATAATAATGAATTTAATGTGCAAGTGTTATTATTATAAGTTATTATTTTATTTGCTTTTAACAGTAGCAAATTTCCTAAATATTTTATTTATAAATATCGAATATATTTATTGTAGTATTATTTGTTAATCTTCCTGGTGACTTAACCTATATGTATTGCTCTATTTTGCAACGGCCTTTGATTATGGCCCATCATTTTATCATAGAGAACATCTCTTCTAATCCAATCTTAATAAAGTTTGCCTTTAAGTAGATCTGTAAATAGTCATATCTTAAATTTTTTTATCACAATTGTGGTTGCCCCTGAAGTATGATATTTTATCAATATATTTTCTTAGTTCTATAAATCCGTTCTTGATCATACCATACACAGTGCAGTTTGGGGAATAGTTGTACTAGACTAACAATCTCATATATTACAATCTCCCTTATCATACAAATTTTAAAACTATTATATTAAAAAAATCAAGACATTTACTAATGCACCAAGAGAATTTCTCTTTCCACGCAAAAAAAATGCGTATAGATATGTTTAAAAAATAACTGTCTCCTTTTTGGGAACCCAACTAAAAAATAGTTTGGCCTTGATATTTTAACCGTTAATAATAAGATTTTTATATTTATTAAGTTTACTTTTTTAAATTGTTTTTTCTATATAGTTTTTAGAATGTTATTCAAAAAAAATATAATATAAAACATTAGTTTACTAGAATAATATTGCATAAAATTAAATATCATTTAATTTACATTATAAAAAATAATTAATAAATTAAGAATGATTAATAACAAACTGTAGCTTGATCATTTAAAGATGGAAGGTTCTATATATATCTACATATATTTTTCAAAAAAATCAATAACGATATTAGAAGTATATCGTCGAATGAGAATCAGTGTTCTATCTCCACTTTTTTCCAAAATGCATTTTTTTAAAATTCGATTAATGAATTCTTTAGTGCTAAATTCTTTCATATCCACGACATTTCCAGAAGGAAAGTCTTAAAATATAATTTTAGAATAATCCTTTATTCGCATCATTACATTGTGTTTGCTATTGAAAATACAAAAATTATACTTTTTTAATAATGATCAATCGATAAATTTTTTAATATGGATATATAACACCTCAATAGTGTTGTTAAACGGCTCGATTTGAGCCGATTTTTAAAAACGGCTAACTCAACATTATAGCCAGGAAAATATTGCCTATGCTTCGAGATTTTGCCAATAGATGTTCAATCCTATGTGCCATCTATGAGCAAAATCTCTATGCTATTTTTCTGGATAAAATATCTAGTTAGCCGTTTTTAAAAATCAGCTCAAATTGCCGTTTAACAAAACTACACCTCAGCAGACGATATTGTGACAATTTAATATAAAAAAACAAATGTTTAAAAATAGTTTATTAAATTTACCCTTTCCAAATTATGAGTATCATGAATATGAAGATTGGCGAAGCCTCGAACCGTTTCGTAATTCCAGGGTTCATCGATATGGTTCTTTAACTTGGATTTACTAAAATAGTTGGTAACATTTTTAAAAAAATAAAAAATTCATGTTTTCCTCGTGGTGATTAAGAAAAAAAATTGAACCTTTTATTATTGTTAACGTCTGCTTGATGTATCGTTGGGTCTCCTAACCCATTTTCTAACATATCAACTCCTTCCTTACGCGCAACGTTAACACCCACCTTGATTTTCGCCTTCTTTTTCTTTTTGTTCTGTCTCCCCCCTGACCCATCTCTGCCAAATTCTGCCTTACGCCCATTATTATTATTGCTTTCCTCGTCTGTGAGGGATGAGGTACCTTTACTAGAATTGCTAGATGATGAAGATTGTGAATTGTTGCTGCTATAATCTGCCATTTAATAATATAATAATAATAAATTTTATGTTTTTTTAATAAAAAAATAACAGTGTTTTAAAAACATTAAGTTTCTCTATTAAAAAAATATGTTCATGAGAATTAGAATGTATCCAATATATTTAAAATTAATAAAAACTTAGACGTGACTTTAATAAGTGAAATAAGCCTGAGTTCGCCTGTGAGTAAGCATAATCGTTAAAACAAATGTTTAGCCCTAAAAATTACATAAAAATGACGGGGCTTAATATACCGAAAATATGAAATAATCTAACTGTATAGAGAGTAATAATCACAGTGAGTCAAAAAGAGTACCTCCTTGCCTATAGTCATCGCTTTCGTCTTCTCCGTTGTCATCCTCGTGCTCGTGTTCTGCGTCGTTAAGTAAGCGGTTATGAGCGCGCCTCTGAGCGTGAGCGCGCTTCCAGAGCTGGAAACGGTCAATGAGCTCCATTAGGTAAGCGGTCTTTTTAGCCCGGCGTACGAAGGTGTGCTTGAGCAGCGATGTGGCGTCCGGACGCTTTTTTTAAACATAATACAAGTTGTGTGTATAGAATTGACAATTGCACTAATTTTTAAAACGTTTATAGAAGTTTTAAGCATTGAAGTGACCTTTGGCGACTAATAATAAACAGTATAACCATTTATAACGTATTAAAAACTTTTTAATACCCTTTAAATGCAAAAACTAAAATTTAATAATATGGATATGGATATGGGAAAAATGTATACCATGGGCTTCCTTTAGGTTAAATATATAAATTAGCGCGCATCAAAAAAGTATATAGTTACAAACATATCGATTTATATATTTTTTTTAAATCTTAAAATTATCAGCCATCAATATCCGGTCTTTAAAAATAGGCAGTCACGATTAAGGTTAATTTAATATGCTTCTTTGTTTATAAAAAAAATATGTAGACAAGTAGGAATCAGCTCCATTCGACGGATTTGTGGGGGCTAAACTTAATTTTAAAATTTTTATCACGTGTCGGACCGAACCGTGATAAAATGATCCGATGCGGCGTCCTATATGCTTAATATTAGTAAAATAATTCCCGAAAACGTGAAAGAAAGAAATATTTCCTTCCAAAGATTCTTGATTTAATAAGCACCAATGTGTCCTAGTTCTAAAAAAATTATAAATAAAAATAAGAAAGAAGGGTGTCCTAAGTGATTGGTCCTAGATTTTTAATAAAGAAATAAGATGCGATAGGCCGTAGCCAAAAGGGATAATCTAATATAATTTTAAAAATATATGTGATCATGCATGTTTATACGTCTTCGGGATTTTTGTTGAGGCAAGCTTCGATGAATTCCTTAAAACACTTCGTGTAATCGCCGGTCAATATAGGAGGATTATTTTTGGGGATCAGGAACAATACTTTCATGGGATGCAGGTCAGAATATGGAGGTTCACCTTTGGCTAGTTCTATAGCAGTTATACCAAGACTCCATATATCGGCCTAAAATTTAAAAAAAAAATAGTATTCTTTAAAAAAATTATGTAAAATTTGATTTTCTATTTGATTTTTTTGCCAGACCCATAAAATATATTTTGTGGAAATTATACGGCCCGGCCGAATTTTGCCGAGATTTTTACCAATATTGATTGGTTTTTTCATTTAATTAATGATTTACTAAAAAAAACATTCTAGACCACAAATGTCAAAATATAATGGCAGATATTTAGATTTTTAACAAACTATTTTTAAATTACGGTCATAGCATCCATCCATTGTACAAAATCCAAAAAAACATTATTATAAAAAATATTTATAAATTATTTGGGCAAACATCACTATAAATCACCTTTTATTCAGACCCGTTGATTGGGAATTTGGCAAAAGTTTATTTGGAAACCAATATTTTTCGGGGGGAGATTTTTTTTATATGAAAATAAAATTCTCACCGCTAGTTGGTGCATTTTGAATTAATTTGCGAAATTATTTTCTCATAATATAAAAACAGGGGGAAAAATAATATTCCGGCATTTTCAATTGAACTGCTAGTAAGTGATGTTGGTCTGTAATGGAAAATATATTCGTTTAATAACAAGATCACCTAACTGTGACCTAATTCTAGTTGATGAAGAATCTAAAATTTTATGAAATGCATTGTTTCATTTCACATTAAAAATATTATGTCTAAATAAAGCGATTTGCGATTTGAATATGAACTTTAATTTTTGCAGCTATATTAATACTTCCATACCTCCAAAAAAAGAAGATGCTCTTTATTTATCAAAATCTCATTTTAATAGTAATTTTAACGTTAAATGCTGCTGGTAGTAACAGCTATACGATCGCCGCTAAAAAAGTTAGACGCGACTATTTCTAATAGGAGATTTAAATATTTTAAAAGTGAGTGATTTTTATTAAAAAATTGGAATATAAATAACATATGTTGCTAATATGATCCCAAAAAATTAATGCAAGATTCTGGACAAAATTGGTATATTCAAAAAAGTGAAACTTGGTGTTGATAAACGGCTAGATTTCGCGGATTCTAAATTAAAATTGTCGCCAAAATAAATAATATGCAAACCTAGAAAATTGGTTAATAGATGTCCAAACCTTACTGCAATCAATAAGCAAAATCTATAGACTTGCGTAATACTTTTTGGCTAAAATAAATGGGATAGCCGTTTTTTAAAAAATCGCGCCGTTTAACAAAACTAGGGGGAGAAACCTTCATTTAACGCGTTTAATTAATCTTTTAAAAAAAATATATATGTTATTATTGTGGGGAAAATAATTTTATATCGCGAAGTTATAATATTATCTGATAAAATTTCATTTTTAGTTGACACAGGTTTTATTATTTATATTTTATTGATTTTTCGCTTACAAAGTGATCAAGTATAAGAAACAATAGAGGAAAATTCCTTTTTATTTGTTTTCATATAATGAAACCGTATTTCGGGCACTGATCCTTTTTCTTTAAAACTTTTAGCAAATCACCAATTGAATGTTGGACAATAAAGATAAAAATAAGTTTCCTTACTATTAATATAAGTGTTACCACTCATTCACAGTTAGCGCGAATTTGCGGCTAAGTAAAACAAAATTCACGACGAATGATACAAAAATACACCATATTTTGTGCATTTCGTCGCGAATTCGCGCAAACCGTGAATGCAGGGTTAGGAGACTAAAATTAGTACGTAAAAAAATGATATCATTTAAATAAAGAAATAGATTAATCTTAAAATGGGATTTACGCTCTGAGCCCAAGTTCTTAGTGATATTCCGATATGGGTATTTAAATATCAATTAATGCTACATGTTTTAATCAATGAATATAAAACCTTTGAATCATAGGAAGACTGTTTGATAACTTCGGGGGCCATCCAAAAGGGCGTACCTACAAAAGTGTTCCGTTTACTAGTTGTATTGGTCAATTGTCCAGCCACTCCAAAATCAGCTAATTTTACATCGCCATTTTCGGCCAAAAGTACGTTCGCGGCTTTTTAGGTATTTTTTTTAACAAAATAGATTAATCAATTTTGAAATGGCGTTATACTGTAGACGTTACTCAACATCGTTACATTTGGCGTTATATTGTAAAATAGTAACTCGTAACATTCACGTTGGTTTTGTTTTTTTTAAAAAAAGTGGCATTCTAATCCCAAATTATAATATACAAAGTAATAAATAGTGGACAGAATTTTTAAAAAATTTATTATACTATAAATATAACTGACGATTAATTAAGTATTTTTGAGATACTCTCAGTACCGCTTTTTGTTGCACTGAGTTAAACACCCGTTCAATATGTGCTTTAAGGGTTTTGATTTTTGGAAATGATTCATTTCTTCCCTTAGGTTATAAATATTTTCTCTACTTCTTTAAGGTAATGTAGGAAGATAAAGCATAATAATATCCTTACTAACAATGTTCTCTTTAAAAACTCAGTTTTTATATATTGTTTTTTTTATAAAATTTATAAAATTTTTTATATATGAATATTAAGGGATTAGATCCGAGCAATAACAAAAATGATTAAAATATAATATAATAAAACATAAATAACGTAAAAAGTGTCATAGGTCACTTTTTTTTAGAATATTAGCGCCGTAACCTGATTTCTGCGAGTGGGAACGCCGTTACTTTATAACGTGCGTTATTTTGCAGCGACCGGGCTAGAAAATTTATAAAAATTTGGGTCCGGATTCAGGCAGAAAAAAAAATTGAATATGCAAGGCTCTACTGTGATAACCAATTATTCGGGCAGAATTATTTTTTTTTTGAATTGGTCTTGAAACTTTTACCAAAATTGATAAATATTTGGAGTTGGGATTATATTTTTTTCAAAAAAAATTAACACGTTCTCAGATCTTCTCAATTTTTAATTTTTAGCTTAAATTTAGATAAATATTTCAAGTTTTTAAAAATAAACAGTTTGTATGTATTGCTAAAATTCGAAGCCAAATTATTTTCAGGTCCGACTCGATCCTAGCAAAAAAAATTTATCGATCGATCTGCTCCGTCTATTATTAGTTTTTCGAAGATCCAAATCCCATCCAAAATTTTATTTCATACGATCTAGAAGTGATGGGCCAAGGAACTGAAGGAAAGCCATGACTAACTTAGGCTTCTCAAATCGGCAAGGACATGTTGGATAAGAAAATTGACAGCTGACATAACCCAAAACCGAGCTATATAGAAAGATAGGACTTGCCACAAAGGCCCAATCTATTTTGGGATTAACATGATGAAGAAGATAAAGATTCAAGTTCCATTCAGAATTTTATTTTACGATCTCGAAGTGAAGGGTCAACGAACCAGAGGAAGGTCATGACTAACTTGAACTTCTCAAATAGGCAAAGAGATGTTAAATAAAGAAAATTGACAGCTGGCATGGCCCAAATCCGAGCTATAAGGAGGGATAAGGACTCGTCTTAAAGACCCAAAACTATCTTGGGATTAAAACATGATGAAGACGCTAATTCAAGTTCAGACTGTTGAAAAAAGTAGGATATTTTAATGGAAAGAGGAGGATGTAAAGAACTGAATATGTCAGGAAAATAAAATAATTTTCCAGGTCCGATATTTATTTATATTTAGACTCAGTGTCTGAATGCAACCGGGTCCGAGAAAAGGCCCACGAACCCGTCTGCCCCGAGTTTTATAATTCGGCAGGCCTTAACAGGGGCAAAAAGCTACATTCAATTAGCTTGGGACTCTCATGTATATTCGCCGCATCGAATAATAATAATCGTCCCACAGAAATTGCAAAAACTAAAAAAAAAACTCTCTTTCAAATCATAATTTTATCCCATTAATTAGCATTTACTTTGGGTAACTTTTGGGAACGAAATTTTTTTTGGAAAAATTAGAAGGAGGTGGTTTAAAATAGACAAAAAAAAATCGGATTAGAAATATGGGTGTCCTTCACTCTTTCTCTTTCTTTCAGAGAAGGAAACTGATAAAATTTTTTTGAAAATTCTCAAGCAGAATTTTTGTTGAAATTTTACCCAAATTTTTTGTAATTTTTATGCATAAATTTGTTTTTTTACGATTAAAAAAAAGAAGTTAACTTGATCTATTTTAAAAATAATTTTCGATTGAATAGCTCATTTGAAGATTTTTTGTTAAACCCTCCTTCTTATATATAATATATATATCGTTTAATGCTTTGATCTTTAAATTGAATGAAATGATACTACTTGCTTAATTAAAATATATTTAATCACAGTGTAATATGTTTTTTTTAAAAAAAAATCGCTCTAGGTCTAGTGTAATGATTATCAAAGTGGAGTCAGAAATGGCTATGGAATATTAAGAAATTGAAAATATTAAAAAAAAGAATAGGCGCAACTAAGATGTAACAAAATAGGCTAATAAAAGATTAGTAATAATTTCATTTATGTAATTAGTAGTGATATATGTATATTTAAATGTTAATGAACCATTCGATTCGTGTAATAATTAATTATTTAAAATTTTATTATTTCATTTAAAAATTCATAATTAGCGATTATAATTTATGGCTTATCAGGCTTAGCTGAAATAAAAAGTTTTTTTGAAATGAAAAATAAAATGAAAACCATTTTTTTAATTTTTATTTCTTCCTCAATTAAAATCTCAAATGCCAAAACAACAAAAACTATAAAACTTAGCATTATTTAAAATAAATTGATTTTCTAAAAGTAATCATTATAATTAAAAAAATTTTTTAAATCAAATCATCTAAAGTAGTTTTATATAATGGAACTGAATGGGATAAAATGTTGAAATGGTGGATAAGTAAAAATCAGAAACGTAAAACATAATAAATAATATATGACGGTGTGGGTATAACGACTCAAATAGACTAGGGAATATAGTTTAAAATTAAGATTATGTATGCCACACACTAAAGAAGATTTTAAAAAAATTGTTGTTGTTTATTTTGTTAACCTTTAATATCTCGGTGCAGCTTTTTCTCGCCATGCAAGTACTCGAGACCCTTGAGAATTTCCCTGAGCATTATGGCGATGTAGGCCTCGTCGATGGGGCCGGGCTTTATCAGATCAAGGGCCGAACCCCCACCAAGGTATTCCATTATGATCCAAAGTTTGCTTCCCTTTTGATTTCGAGTACAAATAAATTTTAAAAAATAGGTTTGTTTTTTATTTATGTGAGTGAAAAATTGTCTACCGATCGATCTGAGCGCCAGTCCTTTACCGCCGAAAAATAAAGAAAAATGAAATGCTTCAAAAATAGATATGTGACTTCACCCATCGAACGATAGGTATAGGTTTTCTGAGTTAATTTCCATAAAAGATGTAAACGTGGCAGGTGTGGTTAATAGATTTTACACCTAGGCTGAAATGCGGCAAAGTTATTTAGACCCTGGTTTGATACTAAGCTTGGGGCTCACTTGGGAAAAAAATTTTTCGTATAATGTTTAATTTTTTTCATAGTTTATTAACAGAATTTGGAAAGGGAACCATATGGTCAAATCTAAGAAACGGAAGTTCGTTTTTTTTAATTTCAAGAAATGGAATCAAAACCAAATTTTTTTAAAAAAAATGGAATTCTTATTATCCTCCCATTTACCCTGAGGCGCGATTGTTGTACATTGTTTATATAAGGGTAAAAGTGATTTACTAAATGACAGCCGTTCTAGACTATAGAGATAATATATATTTTTTTAAAGTGTAAATTATAAATTTAAAGATAGTAGCTAAGCCGATACTCTTTAAAAAGTAACTCTTAACAGCTCTGATAAATAGTTATCGGGAGTGAGTGGGGGGGGGGGGTTAGGGCTGATGGTTAAAGATTAAAGTCAAAACGAAAAAAAGGGAGAAAAGAATAAACTATAGTAGTATTCATTCGATAGCTATCTCCTTTTTAGAAATAGATATAAGAACGCATTCCCGACCTTCAAACCAAACCGCGTTCATTATGGAACACAGTTGGGCGAAAGACGGTTTTAAATCTTCAAGTTTTTGGCGCTTCAAATTAAAGAAGTTGTTACTTTATTTTAAATTTATTATTAGATATTTTAAAATGACAAAATAAAAAAAATGTAAAACGTGTTGAAGATGCCGTCGTGATTAAAAAAATATATATATATATAAATTAAAAGGTATGAAATAACAAAATTATTTTTCTATCTTTTACAATTTTTAAAATATATTATATTTATATTATGCATTTTAAATGCTTTAAGAAATATTATTGTAGCAAATAAAAATAAACGCGTAAGTTTATTAATGTTGATAAATTTATAACATAATTTAAGTAAGCCTGTAAGGTATTAGCTTAATTATTTGGCAGACTTTTAATTTGTTCACAATACTTTTTTGAAGAATTACATTTTTATTCGTCATCCAATAATTTTTTTTTGCTTTTGGAAGGTATAAGAAATCGTTGATGTGCTAAAAGTGAGCCGGGGTTGAATGAACGAATGATAATGTTATTTGTCACATATGTTTATAAAAGAAAAAAAAATGTAAATTTGATTCTGGGCACGAAAGCGGTCAAATCGTATAAAAGAAGTCAAGATTATATTTGTAAATAATTAAAAAAATATTTTTTTTTTATTCAAAACACCTTATATCACGAAAAATAATAATAATTATATGGGTAATGATATATAGCGTTGGTTATTTATAAACAAATTTGTTAAACAACAAAATTTTTATTAAAATGAACAATTTTTTTTGTTAATAATGCTAAAAATTACAAGCTATATATAATATTTTAATAAAAATGCATTAAAAAAAATCAATAACGTTCGATATACATCATTACCCCTTATTATATAGTTAACTCTTTATGTGCTCGGTCCGAATTTGTAAGTATAAACTCCAAATCAGCGGATTCTTGAAAAAAAACCAGGCAGGGCTAGGTTTATAAAAAATTATTTTAAGATCAAGGCCCGGGTCTCAATTTAAAGTGTCACCGGACTCCACTAAACAAATAAATCTAAATTGTAATTGTTCGAATATAAACTTAATTATTACGAATTCCCGAAAGAATATTTTCTTATTCTTTCGCCCACCCCCCTCCCCCCATCTCAATTTCCCTTTATGTGACGAGCATTCAAACCGATTCCTAGGCGAAATAAAAATGAACCAATTAAAATACTCCGTCCAACAAAATATTGACCACTGCAAAATGAGTAACTTTACGGATACTATAAATAATACATCGACAACCAAAAATTAAGCAAAATAAAAGAATAAAGAACTAATCACGAAATTGGAAAAGAAAAAATAATAATACTATTTATTTTTAAGTTAATCCGATGCTAAAAAAAAGATAAAGTAACTTCTTTTGAGTAGCAAAACCAATCGATAAATGTGATTATCATATCGTATAAAGATAAGTTCGTTATAATTTTTGAGATTTCTTCTTACAAAAATACACAAAATATATATATATAGATAATTAGAGATTAATAAGGTTGTAAAAAAATTAAGCTAGCTATAATATAAATTGATTCGCAAATCCGAACCATTTATAAAATGTTGGTTCGCGATAGGTTCGTAAAAAAATACTATCGCTCCGGTTTTAACCTTTAAAACCTGGCTTTCAAGCCCAGGGTTAGTATATTTTTTTTTATTTTCATTTTCAAGTTTGCTAGAGATTTTTTTTTATTCGTGATCACGATCAGCTGTATTTTGTAAATCGTTTCAAAGGGGAAAAATGAAAATTATGAGAAGTAAATGAATATTTAAAACGATCCACATTATAAGAATCTCCAATATTTTCCCACCGATTAATTGGTGTAATATTCTGATCGGGATTTTTAAATTACAATCCCAATTAGGATTTTCAATCTTTCGCGGATTTAAGGTGAAAAAATAGATTCTAGTTCGGGAAAATACTTCTATTGGCTAAATTGGATGGAATACAGTCAACTAGCAGTATAACAAAAATAATAGCAAAAGCTTGTCGTTGGGTTCAGTAAATAGTCACGGTCAAACCCTACATTAGCAGTTTGCGCGAATTCACGAAGATACAAAAATGAATGCAAGTTAATACGGGTTTAACTATCAGATATCGGTCATGGTCTGAGCCCGATATGAAAAAAAAAATATATATAAACATAAACGTTATTAATAAAAACCTTGAGATAGGACCCATAATATTTGGTCACGAAGGGACTGTCGCACTGGGATAGCACGGTGATCTCTTGCTGAATGTCTTCGATCTCATCCTCGGCTTCCTCCAAATCGATAATCTTTATGGCCACCACTTGTTGAGTGCGCTTGTCTATGCCCTTGTAAACTTCCCCAAAAGAACCCTTCCCGATTTTCTCCTGTTTCGTGAATATGGTCTCCGGATCCTTCGGACCCTTTAATTTTTTAAAAAAAAATAATAATTTTGACGTTTCAATTAAAAAAAATCTAGATTTTGACATGTTACGGGGACAAATCGGTTGATTTTAAATGTAAAAAATTCAGATTTTCATATTTATTTAGATAGGCATACGTACGCCATGATGATCGGCAAAAGAAAATGAAATTGGCTGAGAGGGTAAATCACATGTGGGGCAAAATAGATTAAAGTACAAACATAATTTCTAGATTTAATCGTGTTGATGTCTAAGAAGGTTTATTTAACCGGGGTTCTAATCGCAGTTTTATCGAGTTCAAACTTAAATGTCTGTCGGGTTTATTTCGAGGCGCTAGAAAAAAAATTACCAACGTTTTCAATCGATGCTCCCTCTACTTATAAAACCAATTACTAATAAACATTATTTCCAAAAAATAAAATAAACATAAAACATATTTAAAATTAAGAAGTTAAAAATTTAATTTTCAAAAACGAGTTAATTATTACATTAAAAAATTATATATATTTGCTGAAAAAATATATAGGAAAAGGGAAAAGAGAGGCATAATATTTTATCTTATTTTTTTTTAAAATATTTTTATCAATGTTACAAAAATAAACGAGGATTCTGACCTTTTGCATAATATTTTTTTTTTTTACTTTTCAAAAAATATAAAATATTATATAGTAAATAAAATGTAAAATAAATACTTTTATAAAATGTGTAATAAAGTAATAAAAAAAATCACACAAACATCGCACCATGAAAAATTTTATGAATTTTTTTTTTGATATAAGAAAGATAATTAAGGTAAGTAATATTTGTTCTCATCATCGTTAATTATTTCTTCTATTTCCCCAAGGAATTCAAATTTGTGTGTGTATAAATTGAAATGAATGGGGGAAAAAAATGACAAAAATGGCGTCGACCAGTAGTTATATTTCTTTTTAAAACAAAAAAGAAGAGTTATATCTGATCTTTAATGCATAGTGTTTCTTTCTTTCTTTGTTCAATGGGGTTGGTAAAATAGTTTCCTGCGAAGATTATCCTACCACGCATTTCGAATCCTAGTAGAATGTAAAGAGGAGGAATGAGGTGACTGATCAATGTCCCTAGTACTTTTTATTTAATCAAGTAACTTTGACTAATCCATTTACGGTTTAGCCGAGCTTTTAACCTAAAAAATGGTCTTAAAACCTCTGAGTTGAGCAGACATAATTTTTTGAGTGATTTAACCAACCCTAAAGACTGAATGTAAGCAATTCTTTAACCAAAGGCCAATAGTGTTGCTAAACGACTCGATTTTTAAAAATGGATAACTTAATATTTTAGCCAGAAAAATATTTGCATAAGCATTGATATTTCTTTCACTTATAGATGCCCAAACCTTGGCCTTGCGTAACATTTTGAGTTAGACGTTTTTATAAATCATCTCAAATCAAGCCGCCTAACAATTAGCCACAACTGTTCCTTGGATGAACGAATGAAAGAGATTTATTAATTTGAAAATTTATATTTCGTCAAATCAAATCGTTATATATTTTTTTTTTCAAAAAAAAATGAATACCACGTTTGTCCTTTAGAGAAAAGATGATAAAAATAAAATAGATTATATTTTTAAATAAAAATTATTTAGTTTCGAGCTAGCTAAATTATGAGAGCATATTTCGACATTTGGCATAACTAATAAAATATGTATCTATTGAAAACCTTGCGTTTTGTATTGTAGTTAGTTGTTAAAAAAAATTTTAAAGTGGGATTAGGATTAAAGAACAATATTTATAGAAATGATCGATCTGATGTCGATAGAAACAAATAAAAATTTATCAATAATAATATTTTCTTCTCTTATTTTTTTCAAAGGAACAGAATATTCTGATTATTTATATTTAAAAAGTTATTTATTTTTTTTATGCCATTCAAAATTGCTCGGTTGACATTTTTAGTATTTAAGGAAAAAGATTAGTGATGTTATTGAGCCGATTTTTAAAAAACTGCTAACTCAATATTTTAGCAAGAAAAATATTACCTAAGCCTCAAGATTTCGCTAATAGATGTCCAAACATTTGTGCCACCTAAGAGAAAAAAACTTCGAGATTATGTAATATTTTAGTGGATAAAATATTAAATTAGAAATTTTGGTTCAAATCAAGCCGTTTAATAGTAAGAAATGATATTAAAAATATGGAAATTCTTCTTTCGAATTCATATTTCAAGAAAATTTTTAAATTGTTTTTTTTGCTCCGACCGAGATTAGATTATATATTTTTTAAAATTATTATCTTTATATGATGGGTGCTAAAATCATTATTTTTTAAAAAAAAATCCTTCCAAAAAAAATCTCCCGAGGCTAAATTATTAATATGGAACATGAGTTAATCTTATTATATACTTACATCTATTTTATAATTTGTTATGTTAAATTAGCAATATTGAATTGATCCAAAATAAAGAGTATTATATATTTACCCATTTTAAGATAATTTAATATAATCTGTGGAGTATACTTATCAGAGACCTGCAGGCCCGGTTCGGGAAATTTTTTTTAAATACCCGGGCCGGGTCGTATATTTTAAAACTAAATATTTTAAATCGCTCTTATTACCTATGAAAATTAAAAATAAATATAATATATTTTTAAAGAATCAGGCCGGGCTTGAAAATTTTCTTTGAAAAAAATCCGGGCCGGGCCGTGCAAATGCTACTACTGCAGGCCCCCGATATTTATATAATTAAAAATGTTTGAATTATTTAAAATTAAATTAAATTTTTTTTTTTACTTAAACTAGAATTAAATTCATATTTATAAACTGCATCTGAATTAACCTCTTAGTATTTGTATCAACAGAATATATAATAAATATTAATTAAACAGAGCAGCAATAATTACAAGAATTTTGATTAAAAATAAATTTTATAGAATAATAAAATAATTTCAGGATAAAATCATTTATTATAATAAAATTTAACAATTAATGAAAACCAGAGTTTATAATGCTCTTCAAAATAAAATAAAATTTCATCTGAATATCTTTTTGAGAATTCTTAAACAAGTATTTGATCAAATTTTGCCTAAAATTTTTTGTGATGTTTATGCATAAAAATATCTTCATGATGAAATCACAAATAAAAATGATTTCGATCTTTAAAAATCTTCAATGTGATCCTCAATCTTCAAAAAATAAATTTTCAATCTCTTTAATAAAAAAAAACTTATTTGCTGAAGTAATTAATGAGGTATATGTGATAAAATGTTTTTTATTTTCAAATTAAAACTAATGGATAAAGTTTTTTTAAAAAAGAATTGATTTAATCGTGCCAAGGTCAACCCTATATATATATGATCATTTCCCAAATTACATATAATATCAGGGTTACATAAAGCGCTCCTGTAAAAAAATTTGTTTAGTCTAAAGAAGCTAATATTTTGGAGAAAAGCAATATTGATAAAAGTCAAATAAAAATTTATAAAAATTTTTTATGATATATAAATTTTATATTGTGATATTTATATATATATCGTAGGTCCTAAATATATATTTTTAATAATAATTGCGCTGTACATTTTATCAGTGAAATTATTTCTCTAATTAAGTTATTATTTCTATTCTAATTTATTTGATTAAAATTTTGTATAATAAAATAATTGTATTAAAAAATGATGGGTCAAATAAATTATTTATAAAAGCAACTTGCAATGTAACTTGATACTTTTTAAATGTAGTTACTTTTGAAAACTAACTTTTAATTCAACCTTATTATATGAGCTGAGATCCGTACCTATTAGTATAAAATGCATATGGATAAAAAAAAATGAGGAGCTAGAGACCCGTAGGCCAAGCCTGAAACTTGGCTCCTAAAATGGTATAATTTTAAAAAATCAGAACCTAGTTGAATAATAAACCAAACCCTGAAAACTATTCAAAATAATAAAATTTTTAAAAAACCCCAGCTAATTTAAAAAGTCTTAATAGCAAAATAACTAAAGCATGGTAAAATAAAAATATTTTAAAAACGGTTAACTCAGTATTTTATCCTGAAAAATATTACGCAAGCTTCAAAGATGGCACAAAGTTTTAGGACATCTATTAGCAAAATCTCGAACCTTAGGCAAATATTTTTCCTGGCTAAAATATTAGTTAGCCGTTTTTAAAAAATCGGCTCAAATGGAGAGATTTTGTTGCACTAATCAAGCTTATTGACACCTGTTTTGAGACCCCTGCGAGGAACCTTTCTTTTGACATTTTGCAGGTGGTCACTATAAAAAAAACTTTAAATAAAATTAATCTTTGTTTTTACCGCATATTGGAAATCAAATCATAATTTATTATAACTTTTTTTTAAAAAAAGGCAATCAATATTTTTAACGATGTAATTTTGGCTAAGGAACTGCTATTATTTTTATAACATTTTAGCTATTTTTTTATATTTATTATATTTTTTTAAATGTAGGTAATTAAGCGAGGAGAGAAATCGTTTTCATTTATTATCGATGTTAATCGTTTCAATATATTGTACAAAATTCGATATTATAGTATATTATGCATATTATATGATATGGTGTAATGATTAGAGATCGGCGCGGCCCGGGGCAAAAAAGTTCGGGCCAGGCCAAACAACGGGTAGGACATAGGGTTGGTAAAAATCGTGATTTTTTAATTTTAAATCGCGATTTAAACCAAATAAAAATAATTCAAATTTTAATTAAAGAATTATAGGCTAAGATTGTAAAATATAGTTTTTAATTTAAGATTAATATTATCTTGTAGGTAAAGGAATAATGTTCAAGGGAACAAGTCAGGAAATTGTTAAAAAATTAAATAATGATATGTTGTAATTTGATATTTTTTCAAATAAAGAGTTGATGATATTGTTGTAGCTGTTGAAAAAAAGAAGAAATAAATTTAATATAATACATCAAATGTCAGTTATTTTCTGACAGGGGAATTAGATTTCCTGGTGGATGGGAGGAAAACGAAATGATCACATGGGTGGTTTTTAGAAAAGAACAATAAATG